GTTTCAATGCTGTGTCAAGGGTAACTCTAGTCTGGACTGTAACTAAACTTGAGACCTTATATCTCAATGTGGGTGGCGCATTTACGTTGTAGATGTCTATGGGCTCCAGTAACCACTTAACACCAGGTGGGCTGTGCGCTCGTACAACCACCTAAGCAATAAAAAAAAAATTACGGTCTAGATACACAGTATAGTTTTTAGCCGACACCTTCGAAAGCTAAGGAGGGTTATCAGCTTATTTTATTGTTATGTTTATAAGTGTGCTTATTAATTCCACCCTAGCTTTTATATGTCGATCGATGGGCTTGACTCGTTCTGGTATCGAACCTAAACCCGCTGTACCCAGCTGTGTCCGGAATTAAGTAAAGCAAAGCAGTTTGTCTTTCTGAGGCCCCGTTTTGCCTGCCCCAATTCCAAGACCATCCACAATTTGAGGTCAAAACGTAAAACAACATTGATGTGTAATACTTATTATCTAATTTTATTAAATAAGCATATTAGATGTGTGATGTATGTCGCACTTGATAACCACTTTGCACCAGATGGGCTGTGAGCTCTTTCATACATATAGAGTCTAATAAAAATAACATTGTTAATAGCATGCCCGTGGATTACATTTAATCCGCTGGCTCATCTACCACCTTTAATTACATTAAATTACGAATCTAAAAAAAAATATAATTTCGTTTCGTATAGTTCGTACATTTGCATTATATTAATGCATCATAACAATATTAGAAACGTAACAGATCGATTATTAAGAAAACCGTGCGACGGTCAAATAAACGCGTGTCCAAACATCGCACCATCGAACGAGATCAGCGCAAATAATTCTAACACGCTCAGCAAGCGAACCCCGACTCGACCCCTATACAAATAAGATGACTTTTCGAATAAACGTTACAGAGATGCGTCTTTATATTGAGTTGCCGATTTAATACGTATTTCGAAATAAGATTAAAGGTATCCAAGATTGCAAAGTCTAAGTACCGGTGATGATCAGGATCGCAGTGAGATCACTTTCAACCCAACTGATATTATTTTAACAGTGTATTTTTGTAGCAGATCCATTTTCTTCCTTCTAGGTCCTAGACTTCTAAGAGTATTTTCAAAACCAATAATTCTAAACGTGTAAAAACTACGTAGTAATAAAATAAATACTTGTTACAATATGAATTACATTTGTATTCCAATAAGTGCAAAGAGTAATCACAATCAAGAAACGAAAACGGATAAATTGGGATAAAATCTATTACAGTGCCCTTTGATGCAATATCTCAATTCCGCGGTTCATCTAATAACTTACACAGAAGCCGAGGTTATACTGCAAGCGAGAACATAAACAAAGCTGATTTTGTGAATGTTGTGTGACCACCGGAGCACTAAGATATCTCAAGATGAATTACACCACCTACTTTCAGACGTGGGGCTGAAGTTTCAATTGCATTGTGTAACAGCTAAGCCGCGTGCTTGAAATCAGTATACACAACGACCGTCTTGTAAAAGTAGGTAGTGCCTACAATGATACTGAAGGTTCACAATGTGCCGTCGCATAAATTAATGGAAAAACCATTATCCAACAGATAGTTCACTCAATGTCACTTTTTAAACTCTAGCTAACACCTCCTTGCTTGTCGCGGTCTTTGACGATTAGCTGATCACTTCACTGGTCAACTGCAAAATACGGAAACAGCTTCTTAATAACACACAATAATATATATCAAAATCCTTTTAAGTTAACTTGACTTTACTTAAGCACAGCCTTACCCGAGTACCCGTGGAGTTCCCACGAGCTCTATAATAGCGGCGTTCACAAATGACAGACCGCCTGTATTCACACGCCGGTGACTTTTCTTGCACTCTACCGATTTGTAACGATCATCATTGATTTCTGTTCAACTTGTTTTCAGCTATAAACTAACTCTACTATTAAGCATCGTCTCTATTTTACTATTAGGTGGTAGCATGAATCGATTATATGAAACATAATATAGACACAAAAACATAGTATTGACACATATAGCGGGATCGTAATGACAAAAATTATACTGGGTACTCTTGTTAATTAATAGGTGTACTCATGAGCCATCTGGCAGGCAGCTGACGAAATATTTTATAATTTCCCTTACTGTTTAACACCAGATAGGCTTCCTATCTTCCTCCACTGATTTTAGCCACTAAAATCCTAAATTTAATAAAAAATCAAAACAACCAAATTCCATATCACACAGTCATTTAAAATGCTAATAAGACGTCAGTATCATTCGAAAATAAACACATGACATCCTTAACACGCTTTTTTGTGCAGACCAAAGTCGACCTAATAAAGACTGCCTTTAAAGTGGTTACTCCATTAAAATATTTCTGTAGTACGATCTGTCACTCTTTAAAGTTTGTGATCAAAAAATTAAGTTATATGTTAAAGGGAAATTCGCACGTTGAGTTAAATCTTTCGGTCGGATACATTACGACGACGGACTCAAAATTACAAAATTAAACATTACACCTTTGGACAAACGAATGTAACGTATAACGCTTCACCTTAATTTTATGTTTAAATCTTCCCTGATCACAAATCACTACAGAACTATTTATTCAGTATTTATTGAGTTTATTTCATTTCTAGATTTGCGTATTTTAATCTCTATATTTTTTACTTCAATCATTACAAATATTTTAACTTCCATACACTTTACAATTTTTAGGGACACGTATAACAAATGTAGTCATTTTTTCACGCCAAAAACCTTACGATATTTTATTCGTATTAACTTTCAAAAAAAAAGTTATAAAATAAATTACAAATGACGCGTCGACCCTCTACGGCAACAAGTTGGAAACTTGTAACGATCATGTTGGATCTAATTTAGGGCGGGCAGAAAGAGATGCGCGGAGCGATAAGCGACCGCGGGCAGGATCATGCTGTGTGATTTACTTGAATTACTTTAGATGCGTATTTATAGTTCGACGTTGAGTCAAATGCAGTAGAATTTTTTGTGCGCTCCGTGCGGTTTACGGATAACTTTACTCTAGATTAGAATTGTGTTTCGTGATGTCAATTCAAAATAATTACAAGTATATTTGTGTTTCTTTTTGTACATTTGGGCATCCGTCTTCACTTTGTGTTAGCAATTTGTTTAGTTGTTGTTAACATAACGTTGATTTATGACACATATCAAACGGCACGAGGTCTGTGTCAATATTATTAATATTTATTTTACTTCAAATATTTTGGGATTGAAACAGAGCAGGTAGGCGATATAAAAACTAATTTTAGTATTTATTCAGATTCTTTAATTCCTTAAAATACAATAGTGAATTAAACGGCATATTTTGCGAATACGCATTGTGATGTGAACGGTCGATATGTCACCAGCACCTGTACCGAGATGCTGCGCCGCTGAGATAAACATGGACATCGCTCTGTGAACTAAACGGAATATACATAGGGTTGCCTATTAGAAGAATGTTTAGGAAAACTAAATGAGATTTCAATTTGACGAGTTTCTAATAAAAATTAAGAATTAGTTTCAGAAAAACTGAAAATATAAAAGGTTTAAAGCTTTAAAGCTGCGACTACGATATAAAAAGCACATTATTAGTCGAAATGACCACCGTCACCGGTCCACATTCGGCCACAGCTGGGTATCTCCTAACACGCCACCGAGTATTCGACTCGAATCGATTTAATATCGATTAATCGAATAAACATTTAACGATTTATCGCGACCAATAACACGGGGCATGCCATTTCAAATTAGTCATATGTTTAATTGGTATGTAGTTCGAAACGGTCATGGCGCGTTTAAAACGAATTGGGTTTCTGAAGCGATCCGACAGTTTTTCCATTACGTGATAAGCAAACGCATTATTTCGTTCCGATAGAATTAACTCAGTGCGATAAATATTATTTTCAAGCGGATTTTGTTGTTTTGTTGAAGTTATACTTCTTTAGGCGCGTTATGAAAAATTTATGAGAGTGAAAATTTACGATGCGCGCGCACCGTGACACAAAATTAATAGAATGAAGTTGCCCACTAAATCGCTCATTACAATACGACCGACGTAACTTGGCGAGTCTGAATATAGCCGCAAGTGAACTTTCGCGCATGTACACTCGTAAAAAAATGTGTTATTAGCATTCATTTTTTAGTAATATAAATGACAAAATTATTATTTAATATAATTCATACTGAATATTATTAAATTATGAACATTAAATATTAATTATTAATTTTTTATTATTTAAAAAAAAAAGAAATAAATTTAATAAAAATATAGTATAACTTCTTACACGCGTACATGAGTACACGCACCCTTTTTTTTTAAATACGAGAAAATTTGAAAATTAATTCGTACTCACTATACGCATAGTATAGGAGTGGTAAAGGCATGGATGTGAGACCAGTTTGGGTCGGCTCGTTGGTCTTGTTCTTAGCAACCCTGACTACTGTAAGCCGGGTCCCGGTTCGTTTCCCGGTTGCACTCCGTCTCTTTATGAAAACTATTTGGTTTTCTAAATCTTAGTGCACTGTATTCGCTCTGCACCTATAATATAATATACAGGGAGATTATAACTGGGAGCTGTCCAATGCCGAAAGTTGAGTTATATTTTTCATATCACAAACAAAGATAACCACTAGAAGGGACAGAGAAGAAGAAGAAAAATTACATCAGTAAGTAGAACAAGTGTGATTGAAAAAACTAAAATGCTAAGGGTATTGGCTTTACGTTTATCTCTAAAGTTGGCCCTGGACCGAGCGACCTGGATCTGCTATGTTTTTATTTAGTCTGAAAACAATAGGCATATTATTAGGACATACATAGTTTACGTTGTAGATGTCTATGGGCTCCAGTAACAACTTAACACCAGGTGGGCTGTGACACTTAACTAAGCAAAAAAAAAACCGATTCTTGGTGGCAACAGACGTGGCTGGTATCGGATTAATATAGCATACAATATAAATACACACCTAATGTACTAATTATATTATTTCCAGATGAACCAGAAGTGTAAAGTGTGCGGCGAGCCAGCGGCCGGCTTCCATTTCGGTGCTTTCACGTGCGAGGGGTGCAAGGTAATAATAAGTTTAGTTTATTAATAATTTTAGGAGCCAGAGAGTCTAAAAGACAAATTATTACAAGACAGATTACATCAAAATCAGTCCAGATAGTGAATGTTCACTGTCACTAGCTGCTTCCTCGTGTAGAATGAGTCCATAATCATAGTATCCTTATCTCATTTCTCCACTTATCTATCTTCCTATTTCCATTGTGTGAATGAACTGCATTTCCGTACAGCAGGGAAGCCTGTCTAGAGAACTATGAAAGATGAAAGCTTCAGTTATTTTTCGGCCTGTAGACCGAATCCTTGAAGACATTGCTAGTGCTATTCAGTAGTTTTGATAAATTTTATCTATAGGCCGATAAAAACTACAACAAAATTAAAAAAACAGTGTTTATCCCAAAAATAAACGGCAGTAAATATCATCTGTATCAATGTATAAATAAAAGGCAGGTTGAGGTGTTCAAGTTGTGATTGATGGCTATAGGACTCAAGACCTCAAATCTAAATCATACAAAGACCTTTTTTTTATTCCCTACATATTTGCTGGTAGTCTAGAGGGCTAATTTAGCTACGCTCGGACGGGTAAGTGTGCTCACGACTCAAGCTGAAAGAATTAGCTAACACTAGCCCTAACAAAAGCAGTGCTTCGCAGAATGTACCACCGGATAGGAATCGCGACTCACTGAGAAGATCCGTCGAGAAACTCCGTAGGCCGTACCTATGTGTTAGTTCGCTTTCGAAGTATTTGTCATAATCGACAAGTACGATGAGAACAGTGAGTGGTGCTTGAGAGGCCTGAGAGTGCACCGAGAGTTAATCCGGGGATCTGACAAGACATATTTCGGACGACGGCGGTTTTGCGTTACCCCGTCGCCTGGATCGGATAAGTGAAAGACCTTGACCTCGTCTGCACAACTGCGGTGTAGTTTAATTACATTCTTAAACTAATTACAATTTTAAAAATATAATAAATAGCACAGTAAAAAAAAAACAAGGAAATCTGAAACAGAATTAATATTTAAAATAATATTAGCAACAAGAAATCATTTTTCATTTTAGAAACAAAATATGGTATGTATAATATAATATGCAAATCACAAACGAATTCATCAGATTTGATTTTGCTAAATTATCGAAAACCGATTTAAAGAAACATAACTGTATTAATATATTTACCATAATAGTAGTTATAAGACAAGCAAAATTCAACTCAAATAGATTTAAATAGCGTTCGAAATCACATTGAAGCGTTAAAAGAACACACAGGTTATATTTATTAGATATCCATCCACAAAATATGTAAATCAGCTCGTTATAATTCGGAAACGAAAAATAGAAAATCGGAATCGTGTATATCGAATAATTGTATCAAGGATTTAGATGTTTACGTTCGCACTGGAGCTTCTTGAACACCACTAAGCAAACTCGCACTGTTCACGACAGCTACATTAAAGTACTTATCGTTAACAACCTATTCCATTTCCCAAACTAGAACGCATAGCCCACTGAGTTTCTCGCCGGATCTTCTCAGTACGTCGCGTTTCTGATCCGGTGGTAGATTCTGCAAAACACTGGTCTCGCTAGGGCCAGTGAGCTCACTTACACATTAGGATTACGCTGACATAGCCTCTCGAGGCTATCATCAGCTTAGGTAGGAGAAAAAAAAATCGCATGATAGCCTCACGGAAAAATTATACAAACCGTACATCATGGTACACCCGATTGATTACTTTTAAACTAATAGTACAAATAATCTTTATATAAATAAAGAATTGTTAGGTAATCAAGAAATTGATTAAATTTCGGAAATCCCATAGATGCGACAATCGCTTAAATATTATATTAATAATTTAAAATGTATTTGTATGTATTTTATTTTTCATTCATTCAATGCTGAAGGAAGGATTTATAAGATAATTGATTAAAAAAATTACTTATTAATACAAAAAATAAAATTAAACAAAAAACGATGACGTAAACGACTGTATTCGATGTTCCGATGTCCGAAGCTTTAAGGCGATACGATTATTCAATAGCTGCTTATCGAGAAATAGTCAACAATCGCTTTAAAACAAAGCGTTTAAAGACTCTAGTGTTAAAAACGTGACGAAGTATTCCGTGATCGATTAAGAATATCGATAATTGTTGTTAATAACAATCGAGAACTGAATTACTCCAGCTCAACTACGAATTGTTATGAATCTTATTGTTCTAGGAATTAGGTTGATGCGATTCACTTCTAAAAATACTGTAGGAGATTCACATGAACAACTCGATCACTAGGTACTACGAAGTATTTGTAAAATAGAACGGTACTATCGCGTGCCTTGTCGTTATTCGTTGTATCTATAATTCAACGATTTATTTGTTTTTCATTCATAAAAATTATTTTGTTACATTGTTGAATGGTAAGCGTGGATTTGACATTGAATAAATTGGTATTACTTTCGTTCGTTCTATTCACTTGTAGTACTTTAATTGAGAACAACATTTTAGACCTTAAAGTTAGTGACCAGGTATAACGCCTTCCCATGCAAGAGGCCAGAGAACAACTAGATACAAACATTCCTGACCACAGTCTTCAAAAGTATTCCAACGCATCGGCACCATCAACTTGAAAGTTTCCCACACCCAGGTTTTTTTTTATTGCTTAGATGGGTGGACGAGCTCATAGCCTACCTGGTGTTAAGTGGTTACTGGAGCCCATAGACATCTACGACGTAAATGCGCCACGCGCCATCCACCTTGAGATATAAGTTCTAAGGTCTCAAATATAGTTACAACGGCTGCCCCACCCTTCAAACCGAAACGCATTACTGCTTCACGGCAGAAATAGGCGGGGCGGTGGTACCTACCCGTCCGGACTCACAAGAGGTCCTACCACTAATGAATTATTGAGTGTTAATAGTGAATTATGAATTGAAAATATTAAAAGAAACCCAAAAATCTATAATCGTAGAATGAAGCTAATGGTTACCGTCCTTGTCTGAACAATGGTCAATGGGGCGACAGAACGACGTCCTGCGACACTTGACGTCCTCTTTGCACAATCCATTGTGGTTCTGTTCCAATTGCACCGATACCAGTCGGGTAATAAGTTACGTAACTTCAACTTGGACGCTTTTAAAAATGTTTGTTGTTTCACATTAACTGTACCTATATGACTTTTACCCTCATGGGTCAGGGAAAATACAAATATTTTAGCAGTAAATGTTATATTTTCTCTCCTAGCTTCTAAATAGCTAGCAATCTACCTTACTGTCGATGCTTAGTGATGTAGACCTCTTCTGGGTCTAATAATTTTTATTTCATATACAGATTTTAAAAATGTAGTAAATTTACGTATCAATAATATACAATGTATTGGAATGGAGAAAGCCTATCGGTCTTGTTAATTTTAAAATCAGGAGGAGGATTTCAAAGTGTTAAGGCATTTTGATTTGATATATAAATTACGCTTGACCAGAAAAAACCTTAAAATCCAATTTCCAATTAGCGATAATGCATTATTTAATACTTCGTTATTTGGTTCAAAAAGAATGGAATAATAATTATAATGGAAATGCATGATTACTTCGCGATAAAATGGCAGGGTTGTGATCGCTATCCGTTTTAATTCACATCGCGCCAGACCATCATTAAAAACGCAACTTAATATTAAATTTGATATGACCTAATGTGCCTGTGCCCATCCGCAGTGGCAGTAACTCACCATCACTGGGTCACCTGCTCGTAAAAATAATTGATTCTTCGTGTAAAGTTGTGCAGGGCATCAGTGAGTCGTCGGTCGGTCATGGTGTTTGGTTCGAGAGATACTAGTTGCGCAACTGCGGTTACCAACTTAAATTCACTAGCCGGAAAATCACCATAGATTTAATATCGAAATCGGAACAATGCAATACGTTAATCAGCTCACAAATTAACCTTAACCAGATTCCTTTACTTTTTATGAATAAAGGTGCGTGGCACAATGGTATGCGAAAGGTAACATATTTGGAACGTGGACACGTGGAATCATGAATTGCAATCCACAGAGTTTCTCGCAGGATCTTCTCAGTGGGTCGCGATTCCGATGCGATGGTAGATTCTGCGAAGGACTGCTCTTGCTAGGGCTAGTGTTAGTAAATTCTCTCAGGTTGAGGCCGTGAGCTCACCTACCCGTCCGTGAGAATACCCTTTTAGGCTACCAGCCAATGGTAGGAACAAAAAATTAATTGCTATTATTTTTTAGGCCTATTGCGAGTGCACGCGATGGAGGTGGATATTCGCATTCACACAGTGTTGTCCATAAGCTCTAATAAACTTTTGACACTGTATGAGTGGTAATATACACTGACCCATCAAGCCATATGAATCGTGAACTTGACTGTACACAATAAAATTGTCGATTGATTTTCATAATAAAAACTAGATTTAATAATAGCTCTACTACTTTTTTTTTAAGTTTGAAATTGTTTTGTAAATTTTCAAATTTACCAATTATCGAGCAACAATTACAGTTAAACTTCAAAAGATAAAGTATAATATATTATAATATAATAAGGTTATGATATATAAATGTTATAAATACCGTAATATTAAGGTATTACTTGGCATTCTTTTCCAGCCGTTTTTAGAGACTCATTTACAATGTTCTGTTCTTTTTTATTGTCAAAGATGGCATTCGAGCTTGCGTCCTAAGTAAACTATCTACACGGAATCAGCACTGTGTTAAAACTTTCATTTTCAAATCTATTTCCATAAGCAGTTATATTCAGACCCATTCGTTTGTACAATCGGTAAAACCCAGTGAAGTCGATCGCCTGTCCGTCGCAACGTTTGTAAATTACGTAATAATTGGAGCATCGGATCATTCACACGTTTTTGTAGACGACTGGACATTAATCATTTGCAGCAAGCGGTAAAAATTGTAAATTTGATGACTTGAATTGAAATTACCTTGATTTTTAAGATAATTCCGCATACGGTCCTATTGATGAATAGCTAGAGCTTTGAAATGTTTTTTTTTTG